TGAGCTCAACATTTTTCATACAGAAACAGAAATGTTGCCTGTGAGGTTTTGTCAGAGAATATAGCATCTTACTACACACAATTCAGCAATTTCTGAAACACAGAAAGTAGCTTGCTTGGAAAGACATTAGTTTCCTATTAATCCCCCCAAAACTGTTGCCAAACATTTCTTTTTTCTTTATTATCAATATGGGTGATATATTTACCAATGCATCTTATTACGAATATATAATTACTACCTCTTTTACATTTTATGTTGTTTACTAATATATTTTCTATTTTTGTTCTATCGAGTCATACCAGCATTCCCAGCTTCTATAATATTCTGATGTTTCTTTTTCCTTAAGTGCTAAGGTTAACTTATCCATCTCTGCATAGGCTGTTATCTTCTGAATAACCATTTCCTCTGTTGGAATATCTTCTTGTTTCCAACACTGTGCAAAGGTTATTCTGGCTGCAGTAAGAATATGCAGTATTATATATTTGACTGTTGCCAAACATTTCTAATATATTCAAAAACTCTTTTTCCCTCCATGATTGCAGATTTGACCCTGTCGCTCAATCCATCAAGCAGCATCAGGATGGATTAGGATTAGTTTAGTTGAATATTTGGCTTTAATTAAAACCATCGGCCTCAGGATATGACAGCATTGGACTCTCTGGGAAAAAGCTAAATGATCTCCAGAAAGAATTCTGTCATCATTTATTTCTGGCTTTAATGAACCGGAGGAAAGTATAAGCAAACATCAGGTGAAATCTTAAAGTCTTTCCAGCCCTTGCAAGCTTGCTGATACATTTTGTGAAACATTGTGAGGAGGCTAGGAAAGGAAAGGAAGCTTAAACAGTTAAGATAGATAGCTTATCTTATCAATGGTAATTTCCCAGTGTAAATGGCAAGAATCCTGGGAAAAAAACATTTGAAATCATTCATAGATTCCACCTTGATTAGCTCAGTCTAAATGAAGGTAGAAATTTATCTTACAATGTTCAAGATTCTGAAGATATTCCAGGCTGGCATAGATACTTTATTGAAATCTATCTAGTTCTTGCTTTCTTGACCTTGCCCAGATGAGTGCCCAGCTTAAGAGAGAGGCAAGAAAAATAGCTGCTCATAGCACAGTAAAAGAAACGCGTAAATGTGATTTAATGCCATAGTAGCACAGCTGGGTCTTTAAAGTGAAGACTGAAATTTCAAACATCTTTCCCAAAAACTCTCTGGGACCATCTTACCTTGGTGTAAGTGATTGGCAGTTGCTATTATCATCACTATTTTCTGGGAGCACCAAAAAGATGGACTGGATAATGTTTTTTTACTGGATTAACAAAAGAGGCCTGTTAAAGTCTTCAAGAACAATGCAATGGAATAAAGAAGAAATTAAAGTGAATCATATCCTAGAATAGTTGAATAAACTAAAAATTAAGACTTTTAGAAGTAAAAGGACATAACATTAAGTTGGTTTATTTGATCAACGTTAAAATAAGATATGTTGTTATTTCTGGCAATCTTTTTTGAACTTTCTACCAAGGTTTGAAAAGTTAATGTTTAATGAATTTGTTTATGGGATGTGCGGTGAAGTTTGTAACCTTAGAGGGGATGAAGAATTACTAAACGTCTTTATGCATCTTGTGATGAAGGTTGGAAGTCAGTTTTTTATATATTTCTTTTCTTTTTTTTATCATATTCTTACTTTCCTCCTCTCTTTTTTATTTTTTTTATTCGCATGTTTTATTCCTTTTCTCTATTTTCTTGTCGTTTGTATTAAATTTTATTATTATAACTCTTAATAAAAGTTATATATGACAGAGTAGGTAATTTTCCATTTGTAATCTTCTGTGTGCCCGCATACTTTCTTCTATCTTTCCTCTTTCAACACAAAAAAAAGCAGTGAAGACACCTTCCCTAGCCAGGAACAGCCCTGAGCTCTCTTCAACATAGTAACTATTTCCTTTGGCACTTGGGAAGAAAAGCCAATTTTGCTTGAGACTGCCGAGAATAGGCATTACTCTTATCTTGGACATTTTTCTCCAGAGAAGTGGCTCTGGGAATAGAATATATATTATATGTTTGGTAATGTTTGCTTCTTCTGGGGCATCTAACCATGGGAAATGGGGATTTAAATCAATGAATCTCCAATTCTAGTTTGATATTAATAGTGAGGCTGACCTAGTGTTTATATTGTCAGATTTTGAGATGTTCTTGCTCTGGCTTTAGAAAATGATCACAATAGGGGGAATTTGGCAGAAACACTAGCCCTTGTACAGATGAATTAAGCATACTTTCATCAGTGACCTCTCTGTGAAATGATTGGAGGATCATCGACTCAAACACATCCTCTCCAGCAAGCTTGATTTGAAAGACCAATGCAAATTGTGGTGCTATGTACCTCACTTGTAAAGTCATCCTAGCTACAAAATTGACCTAAACTGTGGCATTCCCCAAGCCATGCTGGCATCAAAGTGATGAAACATGCCATGATGTCATGGCACAAATGTCTCCATTACATATTTATGTCTTCATAGATATCACAGCATTTGCATGATGTGGTCATGTACATTTTGTCACTTGCCTTCTTTACCGATGAAAAAAAGTCTTTACTGTTCTGACTCAAGCCCTTTTCCAATAAAACAAACATGAACCAAAGCGAACAGAAACCTTTCAATGATTCTTATGAATCCCTGGTTAAAAGGCTTGATAAACACAAGCCTCGCCAAAACTGTGCGAGGCTGCCAAGAATAACAGATAAGAAATATTTTACAACACAAGAGTCTTCAAATACCAACTTAAGATGCTGCAATGCCCATGAGGCCGGAGTTTCAAAACGTTTTTGCTTCCTACAAAGAACGTCTGAGTTACAGCTGGCTTTTACCTTCTACCTTGCAGCCTTACTCCCAAGCCGCCCATGCAGCTGCTCTTTCCTATGAGCAGCCCTGCGCGCACACGCACTTGCCACAGGCTCCTCGGGAACTCCTCACCACTGCTGCCAGAACCCCAATCTCTGAAAGCAGCAGTCCACTCCCTAATGGTTCTGGCCCCTCATCTGAATCCTCGCTCTCCTCAGCCGTCCACACCTGCTGCCAGGTAACCACAACATTTACAGATTGTGTTATGTTAAATTTCTTGATCTCATATTCCAATTTCCTTTATTTCAAAGCATCAGTGGAGTTTGAAGTAATCTTATACTCTCATTTTAAACTTATTATTCAATATTTTTTTACTCCAAAACAAAAGAAACTCTTCCTAAGAGCTCTGTTCAGGGATTTAGGCATTTGTTAATGTATCAAACCTTGGGATTTCATAAGGCATAGTTTATAAGTAATGGTGGTTAAGCTAGTTCACTTTTAGAAAAGAAGATAGAGACATTAATAATTACCTATAGAAAAATCTTTGACTGGAACTAGGGCAGGTCTAAGCTCTTTTAAGTTCCCCTGGTTTCCAAAAAACAGAAATAGGAAAAAATTTCTCCCATGCGCCACTCACGAAGTCTGAATCTAAAAATAAAGCTATTAAAACCAGGTTATATAAACTACATTATGTGTGCTATTAAGAATCATAGAAAGCTGGAATTCACTGTGAGAGAATTTATATCGTTAGTGTACTCTGCAGGAAATCCAGATTTCTTCCTGTCTAATGTCTATATGGAAAAATTAGAATGAACCAGAGAAAGATAAAACACAATAGCTTAGGCCAAAAAAATGATTTACACTACTGTTGTTGATGAATACTGGGTAATAATATCTGCATTATTTAGCTGCATTATTTATATCAATTCTGGTAGGCATGAAACTTTATAGCATGTTCTTATCCTTATCTACTTCTTGTTTTAGCAAATTGGATGTAGAAGTGTATATTGCGTTAAATAGTATTTTAATGGGAAGGAAATTGGTTCGTGTTATTATTATTTAACAAAGCTCTTTCCTTACCTACAAGAATAAGAAAACAGAGCACTTTTGTGCATAGAGTTATTAACTATTATGGAATTCTTTATGAGAATAAAACATTGTACAAACAGTATATTGTTTCCATAAATTTCTTGTTGAGATAGGGAGATAAGGATTGCTGTACTATGTCCTTATTCCAACCAGTCACTGAACAAAATATGTTTGCACAGTTTCTGACTGAAATCCAGACCTAACTCAAGTTACCAAATTCTTGTTGAAACAGAAGGTACAGTAAGTGTATTGGAATAATAAAAAGCTAATTTCTAGAAATAGTTGAACATTTCTCCAACAGACTGCAGAAAAATCCTACCCTATGAAGTCCAAAGAGCCCATAAAGTGTTTTTTCTCATGTGTGCACATTATTGTAGATTCAGGAAAGGGAAATCACGCCTCATTAGTTCACTGGAATTCTCACTGGAATATTAATGCCAGGACTGACAGAAAACAATAAACTATCACTGGGATACATCAGGGAATTTAACAAAAATATCACATATTGGATGAGTGTGTGAAATACAATTGAGCATTTCCAATGGTTTGAATTATATATGTCATATATACACTTAAAGCACAGACAGTCTGCTCTAATTCTTCAGAAATTTAGCAGCACACTTTCTTTGAGCTGCTTGGACAACTAATAATGCTCACGCATTAATCTATTATTAGATTTAATAATTAATAATCCTATCTTGTTGTTTGTTCAGTTGTGGCAACTTTAAATATGGAGAAGATAACTTGCATTTCTTGTAGGTAACAAAGTACCTACCATGGAACCAAGAAAGATTAAGATACTACTCTATGCAGATTAAATTCAGACAAACAGATAGATAGGTGATAGATAGATAGATGATAGATAGATAGATAGATAGATAGATAGATAGATAGATGATAGATTAGAGAGTGAGAGAAATACAGACAGACAGACAGACAGACAGACAGATTTTATTGCATAGGGCAGAAGCTTAACCTTTCTTGATTACATTCTGAATTTATAAAGTACAGCTTCTTTTCTTTTTTCTTTTTGTTGCGAGGGCTAAATTAGATAAAATATTATAGCACAAGTTATAAGAAAACAATTTTAATCAGTACTTTCAAATGGCATATGTACACACATATAGGAACACATAAAATCCTGACAATCATTTTGAGGTTGTTAACAATGTATTTGAAACTCACACAATTCCTATAATGATATAAAATTCCTGATTGGAAGATTGAATAGAAAACAACAGCAAGAAAGGGGAATGTGGGATCTTGAGCTGAGAGGAGAATTTTACATCCCCTGAGTTGTCAGGGGGGGAAATGCTGCCACTGTAACAAGATTTAAAACATAGTTTTAAATAACAAAATGTATTAGTGAATGTGCAACTGGCAAGCTGATTTCATAATGTGGAAATGCCCAGTTTTGAAGCATCTGTGGGGGGAAAAAGAAAAATTAGGTCAATGCCATGACTTTCCAAACCCACGAGATAGTTGTTCACCTTTCTTCTATACCTCTTTTGTCAGGTATTGTTTTCTATTAAGGCACACGTGGATGCTTTCTTAATTACAGCTTATGGGCAAGTATGAATGCCTACAAGCATTACCCCACATTTTCTTTCTCCTGAACTATGCAAAAGTGCAGCCAGCGACTGCTTCAGGCTTTTCATGTTCTTTGCCCATAACTTCTCACAGACCTCAGAAACTGTATACTTTATTTTAGATTTGCTTTTCTGGTTGGCAGGAGCAGTCATATCTAGCAGGTTTGTTATTATTAAAGCATTAAGCAGGTTAAAATTCATATTTTAGACAAGTGCCTGGAGAAAGATTCCAACCATAAATCTCACATTTTCTAAAATATAAAGTGAGCCTTTCATCAAATATAAAGTGAGCCTTTCATCTTGTACAGTATATCCCTTTATTTCCAATAAAAATTCAAGAAAAATTGTTGGTGGAGATGGTGGTTAACCAGGGGAGGACAGCGATTGTCAGATTTAAAGAGATGGATAGCTTAATTTCAGCAAATCTGCAGGGTGAGGAAGATTTATAGAGCACAGCTGAGTGGGATATACCCCACTCCTTCATTTGATCAGTCCTGCTTGCTTTCCCCAGAAGGCACCAGCTGCAAGGGAGGTGCAGGACTCTGATTCCTGCTACAAACAGCAGCAGGAAAGGAGTGATCTGGTGGGACAATGGTTCCCAACCTTTTTGTCCCCATGGGTAAACATTTGAAATTTAAAAGAGATAGACACTCTTAGGAAATGGCTGTCATGCCCTCGTGAACGTGGCTGATCACAAAGCAGACAGCCAACAAAGCACCAACTGCAATCACACGCCATTTTATCTTCAAAGAACCCCTCTGATTTCTATAGGAGGACCCCAGATCTTGTTGGGAATAAGTTATCTGGGAAATCTGGGAGATCACTCTTTCGTTTTGCAGCATGCCAGTTTCCCATTCATTTTTAACAGTAACATCAAGTAGAGCAGGGAGTTTAGTAATGTTGTATCCTGAGGTCATTTTGGGGACCAAATTTGAAAGTGAAGTCTAAAGAAGAAGAAGCTAAAATATTTCCCTTTCCTACTTAACTTTAGAATAATTAGTTTGGGAGGAGAAAAGGAGAGAATATTTGTGCGCATGTTTATGTATCACTCATCAGCTCTTCCAATTTGTAGCAAGCAAAACATTGAGTTTCTTACAAACCAACCCCCTCCTCCAACTTTGCAACCTGAGCAAAATATTGAAAAAGGTTGTCCTTAGATCGAAAAGGTAAAGGTAAAATATTGCCTTTCTAAAGTAGGACTTCAGTCCTCTTCCCAGCAGACTTAAGAGCCCCCATGAGTTCAGTCCTATTTGCCGCCATCAATAGTAGCGATTCAGGCTCCTGGTTCCTGGAATATCTGGCTGGCCATTCATCCATATCTCTCGTATGATGCGCTCCCTTTCCTCCAGCCGCTGTGCTCTCTCAAGCTCCTCAGCTGAGGTAAAGACATTCATGTTCAAAGTCCGTTCAAATCGATGTTGCCGTCGCACGGACTGGTCTGAGGTGGTATCTGAGTCACTGTCACTCCAGCTACCGTCACTGCTGCATGATGGCCTTTGAGTTGATGTCTGTTTGCAATCAGTTTGACAGGAGATTTGGACGACTAAAGCCAACAAGGTCAAGAGAAGTCCAATGCAAATCCCAGACACAAAACAGAGGGCAGCTCGTTCAGGGTTTTCTGAAAGATGGAAGATACTTTTTTAAAAAAAACAAGAAGTGCAGGAAATATTTTCACAAAGAGAAACCTTGCTATTGATAATAACTGTGTTAACCATTTGCTCTTTTTTTTTACAAATCAAAGTATCTGACAGAACTTAGGCTGCAAGCAGAGAGACCATCTGTATTAAGAGAATACAGATGAGACACAAATGTGAGTATTCTGAAACATTAATAATAAAACAAACAAGCCAGAGCTAGCAGCCCTTTTTTCATCTTTGTGGGACATATTTTAAAGAAAAAGGTTCTCTAAGTTCAGCAGGGAATACAGTATGTCCAAGGATACAATGAGGAGACAGAATGGAGAGGCCGCAAATGTTTAGCTTGGCTTGGGCTCTTTGAGGAGGGTTGAAGAGTTAAAATTGATACATAAAGCCTCCCAGTAATACAGTGATCCATTAACATTTGGGCTTTACTGAAAACTGCTAACCATCATATTTATTAAATATTGACCATTATGCCACTGAATTTCAGAGGCTTTCAAAATAAATTTCAAAATCTGGGGGGTTTCTGGGAGTGAGTGTGCAAGCAGTCCAGCAAGCATGGGAGAAAACTACAAAAACAAATTATTAATTATTGTGATAACACACTAGCTTTTGCCACATCAAGTATCACTGGGGAAAAGGTGAGAAAAAGAAATAATATAATTAGCGCATTAAAATAATATAACTGGAATAAGATTTGTGAAAAGAAAATATTTTTTGTGGGGGGAAATACTTTGGAGTATCAAGTTAGATAATCCTTTTCCTAGTCCCAATTCTCTAACAAAATATTTTTCTTATGTCTTCTATATTCAGGTACCTCCAAGTAATAGCTATTATTATATAAAGATTCAGGCTCTGAAATAACAAAAATAAACATTTGTGCTCATTCATTGGCTGATGGCTTATTTAATTCTCAGTGGAGAATGTATCTCAGAAATCTGAATGCATTTTGAAATGCAATTTGGCAATATATGGATAAATTTATACAGTTAATAAGATGGCTGCTTTATTGATTCACCAATATCCACAGTATGAGTTTCCAACACATACAAATGTTGTATTATTCTTCAGTAGCTAAAATGAAAAGGAAAGTGGCAGCAAGTATTGAAAATAAATACAGGAAAGTTCAACTGCCAAATTAATAGCAGGAAAAAAATATGCTATTTGGGAACTTTGTCCATGGAGTTGACTTTGAAAATGAATCTTAAAATGATAATAAACAGAACAAAATGAGAACTACCTTTCCTTCTCTTTAGCCTTTTTAAAAATAAACTGATTTTTACTATTAGTATTTATGGGGGTGGTCTCAAAATATCCATTTTGAGCTAGAAACCACCATTTCAAGTTCAAGGAAAGCTATTCCAGTTCTGTGAGGCTGTTTCAAGATCCAAACATGTCCAATAAGTTTGAAACAGCTTTGGAACATTGAGCTCAAAACAGAATGTTTGAACACTTCTAGTAAAACTGTCTGTCAACAGCATTTTTCTTTCCAAAAGGACCTTAATTTGGTGGGGAGTGATCACCTAACCCTGATAAGAAAATTGCTTAGTGAAAGGGCTGCAGCAGCTCCCATTACCTTAATGTCCTTAAAATGCCTGTATAAGGTTACCGGTTGTCCAGCAAAAGGAGAACATGTCCTCTATTGTGTCTTCAAATCCTTCATCAAATACTGTCCAGTTTTTTGAGTAACTTTTTAAAACAGTTTTCACAAACAGTTTTCATTTAAACTTTCATGTATTATGACCTTGTAAACAACCCTTCTTTGTATCCATCATCCATCAACATCCTAGATTCATACTATTTAATTTATTTTCTGATTCCAGCAATTGTCTTCAATCCACCCCTTCAAATCAATGATTGCTATAGTCACATTATTTGTCATTGGTTTCTATTGTGAAATCTGAAAAGCACATCCTCAATTCTATATTATAGCTAGCATATGGTCTTAAAAATAAAGATTTGTTGAAGAAATATTATGATTGAAAAACTAGTTTTTCTGATGCTGCAAAAAATAATAATTTCATATACATATTGACCAAAGTACATTTTCCCCCAGTTTTCACTATAATTTTTGTCATGGATGCCAAGAAAGTTAAACAGTGTCCTCCATTCCAATTTTCCAGGTCTGCCTTTGTCTATTTAGATATCTGGTTAACTCCGTGCGTGTAGGCCAGGGGTCCCCAAACTTGGCAACTTTAAGACTTGTGGATTTCAACTGAATTGAAGTCCACAAGTCTTAAAGTTGCCAAGTTTGAGGACCTCTGCTGTAGGCCCTAGACTGGCTCCCCAAGCAACTGCTCTAGCCCCTTCACCAAGCAGTTGTCCAAGAAGCTTTGTATTCAAAAGTAAAACCAAGGAAATTAAATCTAGTCTCACAGATAGCAGAATATGATGTAGATTTTATAGAATATGTGAATGAATAGCAATACCAAATTTTAAGAGGTCAATGGTAAGCACGCTAGGAAAAAAGGAAATAAAATACAGTCACAACTCTTACATTACATTGGCCACCCATTCATAAATGCTTGGTGCAACAGATGAAATATCCATTTCTGGGTGCTTAGTGTACCTCCTGGGATAAGCACTTTATATTTGGAGGTCACCATGGAAAAGATCCATCCATCTCCTGTCAACCTGCACTGTATTTCAACTATTGGCAATATGAAACAAGCCTCTTCAGCCTGCAGATGTAAGGCAACTCATATGGAGATCTTATTTCATATATACTGGCCCCAAATTGTGTAGAACCAGCACCTTGAATTCAGCCCAGGAGGAAAGCAAGCCAACTATTTTAAAATGAGGATTATATGTGTGGCAAATATGCAGCATATATTAGGTAATGGGGGGGTTATTGCCACATGCACAAAAAGGGTGTTATGTCCTGAGGACTCTAGGAGTTCTCACTCAGGTCCAGTCCCCTTGCGTGGGCGACCTTTCCCTTTCACCCATTGGTTGGTTCTTCCCAGCAGCCAGCTATAAAAGCGGGCTGCGGGGTCCAACCAGTTGCTGATTGCTGCGAGCCAGTTCCAGGCGTGGCAAGCACGGTCAGCCCTTTATTGTTATAATAAAGTATTGTTGCACTCATGCTCTGGTTCAGCCTCTCATTGCTCAAACTTAACACTGGCGACGAGGGTGGGATGGCTACCAGTAGCACCATGCAACCGCTGAGTCACTAGCCGCCGATCCGCAGCCAGAGAGAGAGCGATCGGCCGGCATTAAGAGCAACGCTGATCCGCAGCCAGAGAGAGCGGTCAGCACACAAAAAGAGCAAACGCTGATCCGCCGACAGAGAAAGCGGTCAGCAAGCGAAGAGAAGTGAACACTGATCCGCAGCCAGAGAAAGCGGTCAGGTTCGAAAGTTAGAAGCGTCTGTAGCCGCTTGTTAGCCCAGCTACAGGGAAAGTGAAGCGCTGCGAGCCGCAGCCGCTCTGTATCAGGCGCGAAATTCAAACGGTTGTCATTTGAATTTCAAACCTAAGAGAGACACAGCACAGCGCTGTAGCGAAGTCACTAACGCCCACACTGGCGCGAATCTAGACACCACCAAGGGCTAACAGCCAACGTGGTTAACCCAGAGAGAGAGAGAGGATAGCGAAAAGCCTCTCCAGAGCTGAAATCACTTGCATACCACGAGCACTAAAACCTTGCCCGTTGTCCCAGAGAGATTTTTTCCACAGGTAGCTCAGCCGGTCCCAGCACCATGAGTTCCAATCCAGTATTCCCGGCGTTCAAACCAGACGAAGAGAAGTGGGAATCGTATAAGAACCGTTTCAATCATTACATCGATGCGGTCGGCCTGGCGGATGCGGGAGAGCATCGGAAAAAATCCTATTTCCTAATCTACTGCGGAGCCACCATTTACGATACTGCCGCAGCGCTCGTAGCTCCAAGGGAGTTGAAAAACGTTCCGTGGTCCGAGTTGCTTGAGATCCTCACTAACCACTATGCTCCCAGGCCCTCACAGATCGCCCGGAGGTTCACTTTCCGTATGAGGAAGCAATCGAGTAAAGAGACCATCAATCAATATATGGCCGCTCTCAGAACAGCAGCACTGCATTGCGGGTTTGGAACCTACCTGGAGGACATGCTCCTCGATCAATTAGTCTGCGGGGTCAAGGACCTCCACCTACAGAGGCGCCTTCTCGCAAAAAAAAGACCTCAACCTCGCACAAGTGGTCGAGGAGGCCTTGGCAGCCGAGCGGGCAACGAACTCAGCCACCGAAATACAGGGCCCAAGTGCCAAGCTGACATCACTCCCAGTCCACTCCGAGGAGGTGGTAGCAGAGGAAACCCTCAGCGATGAAAACAACGTCCACCGCCTCGCCAACGACAGACGGCCGCAGGTAGGGGCCAAACAAGAAAACACCGGTCCACCCAAGCACATCACCCTGTGCCTAGCCTGTGGGGGATCGCATCAAAGGGCCACCTGCAAGTTTAAAGGAGCCACCTGCAACAACTGCCATAAAAGGGGGCACATCGCGAGAGACTGCCAAGCCCCCCAAAGCGCAGCACAAAGACACCCTCCCTCGCACTCGGGACCGCAGAGGCAAGTATTAAACTGTCGCACGCACCGCCTTGCCAAGCGCACTTGCCACACTGTTAGTAAAATTTCTCTCTCCGTTTCCCTAGAAGGTAAACCGTGCCACATGGAGGTTGACACAGGGTCAGCGCTCTCAATAATTTCGTGGAACACCCTCAAGAGACTCCACCCCAGCCTATCTACTAGCCGGCTTCAAAGATGCCAGTTTGGCCTGAAGGACTACCAGGGGAAGACCATTCCTGTGATCGGCAGAGGCAAGTTCCTTGTCAGTTTTAGAACTTTTAAAGGTCACCTACCTCTAGTGGTAGTAACGGCAATCTACCCACCTTATTGGGGCTCGATTGGTTTCCCCACCTCGGCCTAGGGCTAACAGGAGTCCATGCTGTCTCAACCTTAGACACTGACTCCTTATTCGCTGACTACGCAGATGTGTTCAGCGAGGAGCTGGGGTGTTATAATGGAACCCCCATCTCATTCTCAGTTGACCCCCAGGCAGTCCCAATCAGACTAAAACCGCGTAGAGTCCCATTCGCTATTCGGCCAAAACTAGACGCTGAATTGGATAAACTATTAAAACAAGGGGTCATTGAGCCAACAGATTTCGCCAAGTGGGAGACGCCCATTGTCACACCCCTCAAAAAAGACGGTAGCCTGAGAATTTGCTCGGACTACAAGACAACAATCAATAAATATTTACAAGTTAGCGCTTACCCTGTGCCCGTCATTCAGCATTTATTGCACACATTCGAGCCAGGCAGTATTTTTGCTAAATTGGACAGGTCTCAAGCATATCAGCAGTTCCCTGTTGATAATCAAACAGCGGAACTCCAGACCATCGTCACTCACAGGGGTGCCTTCCGATGCAAGCGTCTCCAATTTGGCGTTAGTGTTGCCCCAGGTATTTTTCAATCCCTCATGGAGCGGATTTTACAGGGCCTCCCTGGTGTAGTACCCTACTTCGACGACATCTTAGTCTCGGCCAGGGACAGACCCCAACTCTTTCAGAGAGTGCGAGCAGTGTTAGAGCGGTTCAGACAGCATGGCCTCAAGTTGAAAAAAGAAAAATGTGCCATTGCCACTAGACAGGTGGACTTTCTGGGTTATAAAATTGACGCCTCTGGCATTCACCCCCTGGAGTCCAAGGTTAGGGCAATCCACGAGGCCCCCACTCCAACCTCCAAAACTGAGCTACAAGCTTTCTTGGGGCTGCTGAACTTTTACGCATCCTTCTTGCCCCATAAAGCATCAGTAGCCGAACCCCTACACAGATTACTGGATAAAAAGTCACCTTGGCACTGGGGGCACAAAGAAGACCAGGCGTTTAACGCCGTCAAATCACTACTCACGTCGGAGGCGGTGCTTATCCAATTCGACCCTAACCTTCCTTTAGTACTGGCAGCAGACGCATCCCCTTTTGGAATTGGGGCGGTCCTTAGTCACAGACTTCCCAATGGCGCCAAGGCTCCCATCGCCTTTTTCTCAAGGACGCTCTCTGCCACGGAGCGCAATTACAGCCAGATCGACAAGGAAGCCCTAGCAGCTGTTGCGGCCGTGAAAAAATTTCACGAATTTCTTTTTGGCCATTTTTTCGAACTGGTTACGGACCACAAGCCCCTCCTGGGCATACTGGCCGGGGACAAACAGACCCCTCAGGTCCTTTCCCCTAGGATGACAAGGTGGACACTCTTCCTAGCAGCCTACTCCTACAAACTTATACACCGCCCGGGCAAAACACTGTCCCACGCCGACGCTCTCAGTCGCTGCCCCTTACCCGCTCCGGCTGAAGACCCCGCTCCTGTCAACGCTATTTTCGAGATCACCCAGTTGGACCTGCCCATCACTGCCCTTGACATTGCTGCTAAAACCAAGGCAGACCAAACGCTCGCCCAGGTGCTCAACTGGGTGAGGAGGGGGTGGCCGGGTGGCAACGTTGAAAACAAATTCACACCCTTTAAGACTCGCATGCAGGAGCTGTCCAGTTTGCAGGGTTGTCTACTATGGGGCACTCGAGTGGTCATCCCGACCTCGCTGCGTACCCGAGTCCTGGAGGCGTTGCACGAGGGACACCCTGGCATCGTGAGAATGAAGGCATTAGCACGCAGCTACGTGTGGTGGCCGGGTCTCGACGAGGACATTGTCAATTGGGTAAGTTCCTGCAACATCTGTCAGGAATCCCGTCCTGCTCCCCCCATTGCCACCCCTACCAGATGGGAGAGCGCCAGCGCCCCTTGGTCTAGAATTCATATCGATCTGGCCGGCCCCTTGCATGGGAAGATGTTCCTAGTGGTCGTGGACGCCTATTCCAAATGGATTGACGTAGCACAGCTATCCACGACCACCACACTAGCAATCACCAACGTGTTAACGCGCCTGTTCGTAACGCACGGACTACCCGACTCCATTGTCTCCGACAATGGCCCACAGTTCGCATCGATCGAGTTCAGCCGTTTCGCTGCCAACCTGGGTATCCGCCACATTTTCACAGCCCCATTTCATCCTGCCAGTAATGGGTTGGCTGAAAGAGCCGTCAGGACCACTAAAGAAGCCCTCGCCAGGTTCAGCAGGGATAACTGGCACCACAAACTCTCGCGGTTCCTGATGAGCCAGCACTCAACCCCTTGTTCAGTCACCAATAAGTCCCCAGCGGAGCTCCTGATGGGCCGGCGCCTGAGGACTGTATTGGACAGACTTCACCCACAATACTGCCCTGACTCTCCCCTTGCTTCCTCATCGGGGGTTAGACATTTTATGTTACAGGAGCCAGTATTCGCGAGGAACTTCGCTGGGGACCCACTATGGATTCCAGGCGAAGTCATAGCCATCACCGGGCCGAGGTCGTATAGGGTCAGGCTGGAGGATGGCCGCGTCTGGAGGAGGCACATAGACCAACTGCGGAGGCGCCTCAGCACCCTTGCCAGCAGGGATCCAGAGTCACCAGACGAAGGGGAACCTCCTCATCCGCCTCACAGCCACATCGTGCCCAACGACCAGTTCGCACCTACAGTCGTTCCTGTCAGCCCGAACTCGGACAACAGCGCCCAGAGGGTTGACCAGCCCGATCCAGTCCACGGGAGCTTGTCCCCAGTAACCAGCCCTGCGAGTCCCGGGGATACCCGAGCTGGAGAGCGCGTTGGTGACACTCTGCCGGCTCTACCGTCACAGACTGACCCTGAACGGACAGACAATGTTCCCGAGCTGCGCCGTTCCGGGCGCCAACACAAGCCCCCTGTCTACCTCAAGGACTATGCATGTTCGCATCTGGGGGGAAGGGGTGTTATGTCCTGAGGACTCTAGGAGTTCTCACTCAGGTCCAGTCCCCTTGCGTGGGCGACCTTTCCCTTTCACCCATTGGTTGGTTCTTCCCAGCAGCCAGCTATAAAAGCGGGCTGCGGGGTCCAACCAGTTGCTGATTGCTGCGAGCCAGTTCCAGGCGTGGCAAGCACGGTCAGCCCTTTATTGTTATAATAAAGTATTGTTGCACTCATGCTCTGGTTCAGCCTCTCATTGCTCAAACTTAACAAAGGGTGTGTGACTAATTTGTCATTCTAGAACAGGGGTCTCAAACACAATTTACCTGGGGGCCGCTGGAGGCAGAGGCTGGGTGAGGCTGGGCCGCATAACCTTCCTTCAGAGGTCCATTCCCCCTGTGGGCCACACTAATATTATACTTTCATATCACTGTGGGGGCCACAGGATATCATCCTGCGGGCCACAATTGGCCCGCGGGCTGCGAGAATGAGACCTCTGTTCTAGAATGTTGTCTTATATTTAAGCTACCCTGTTTTCCTCTCTCTATAATTTCCATTGAGAAACCTAAATGGTCTGTTGCTGCTTATTCATTATTAAAATAGTTTAAATCTTCACTCATCTGCCTGTCTTATTTCATTGTCACAAATATTTTTAGACATAGTTTATATATCATTACTTTTTTTAAAGTATTGCTGCAAAATAATACAATGCTGGCAATTATTTGCACAAGCATGTGCACAGACCCACTATATACCAATTGCTTTCCAATCTTCAAGAGAAGCCCCAGTTAAAGAATATTGTAAGATTGAAATATAGTGATTAGTATGAATACATGGCTCACATCTTCTATAAAAATGAACCACTGTGTTGGAGGCAAGGGCAAACCACTTCCAAAATATTGACAAGAAAACCTCAGGGACATACCAAGGCAGTCACCAAAAGTCAACACTGACTCAAAGGCACAAAAAATATAACTTACTAAAATATGATAGAAATATCTTAATATAAGTTAAAGTTTCACTTGCAGCTGAAGAACTAGCTAATACTGAATTATAACAGTTGCTCTTTTTCACTCAAATATTTTAGATAAACATAATTTTTAAAAGAGGGTTTAAAATTATTGTTATTATTATTACAGCCATTACTAACCGCTATTCTAAAGGACCAAAAAATGACTTTATTTTCTCCTTAAGGGTAGAATCAAAGGTCAGAAGGAGTACAGAAAAAAATATTTCACTTCCACACTGGGAGAGGCTTTCAAAATAAAAACCCTGGGAAGAGAATTAAAAGATTTCTTGTATGTTTTGTTACAGCACAACAAGTATAGAAAAATATAAACTAAGTGACTCTAGGAATTGTTTATTCTAAAAAAGAACATCTACTGTAGTAAAACTAGTCTAACCAGCAGAGAAAATACAGTACATGTTGCCATTAAATCCTCAGATTACACAATAGAAAGTTTATATTCTCTGTGTAATCTTTTGAAAAAAATAAATAAAAATAAATACTAAAGTTGTGAGGAGCTAAATCTCTAGTGATAATAGCAAATCGAACAGTCTGACAGAACCATAATAAAGCTTTAAATAAAATTGTCCTATTCCAAACGCTAATAGATACAATAGATGCATAATTAGGATAGCAAAGGATTTATTGGGAAGTTTAATTTAAATTTCACCGGGACCTGAATTTCAGGTATCTAAAAACTACCTCCAATGTGGGATAAACAAGAGTATCTGGAGATGTATTTGGGGAAATTGTTGAAAATACTTCACAAATACCAAATTTTATTCTAACATTTTCTCACCATATGCTAATTTTGATCAGGAATAGAAAACAAAATTGCCTAACCGTGCCACATTGTTTTCCTCTTTTTGATGTAGTTCTTTTATTCCACTTGGATCACTATTCCTATCATTTCATACCCCAAAGCAGATCATTAGAAATTGCATACAATAATAAATATGTACAAAGCATCTTTTCTTTCCTTTAATTCTCTCCAGAAATATAACTGATAAAAAAATAGAGAGGACTATTGCAAAGGCTTTTTCCCTTCAGGAAAACATTCAACAGATATACAGTAAGTGGTAAGAAGAATACCTGTGATGAAGGAATATGCTGATAGGATATTGCTGAACAAGGAAATCTCTGTGGGGGTACCTGCAGGCTTCATACTTCTTTGATGTTCTCCTCTGAGCTTCATTCACTGGAGTAGCAAGATCTGGGTTAAAAAGTAGGCTTCTATTTCTTCTCCTCTGTTTTGGAACACAAATAGGTTTGAGATGAAGCACATTTAACTGTGGGGTCCATCATTCAAGCAATAGAACTTGTTTCCTACCTTGAAAATCGTAGCAAAGCCTTCTAACCATTTCTATGAAGTTCACTGGTTTGACAGTCTGACTTCAGCTGACTTCTCAGAATGTATTTAAAACAATTTCTCCCCTGATCACTTTCACGTCACCAGTCAGACTCCTCCATACTGAGGACTGAAAGAAATATACAATCAGAGGCACTTTCCCCTTTTCCTGCCCATTTTGAAGTCAAAAGTGCCTTTTGGGGAGCTGTAGAAAAATCAGAGTCAACAGGCAGCTTTCTGCATGGGTCTGGCTGTAATTCTATAGCTTGTGACAAACCCATGGCAAACAGTACGCCTTGCCCTCCAGCTTTATTAAATTGAGGGAGGATTTAACTCCCTTTATGACTTCCTAGAGAGGCCGCTTTTTTCATGCTCCCCTTATAACAAAGAAAACAGCTGCAATGGACCCGAGTTAATGATTGGATTTTATTTGCTGAAGTTTTGTAGCTTAATAGGCAGTTCATTTTTTCAGCTTGAAAGAGACCTTTTCCGACCTTACTGAATCATTACTGAGAATTCACTGAACCTTGATCCGTTTGTTAACTCCTTTGCCAATAGTGAAAACATCAATAGTTTTAAAACAATAAACAATCTAAATGATCGGTGTCCCTAACAATGCCGTACTTCAAAACAAAGTCTTCCATTTATATCAACTAGTTTAGCTTCGAGGAAAAACTCTGCTTACCCAATGAGTGGGAAAATATATATATTATGTATGTGTGCACTCTTTATTTGATCATGCCCCCAAAATAGAAAGGTACATCAAGAGTAGTGTAAGTAAACACGTGTTAACCCTGAAGGTCTGGATGAAGAGATATATTAGGGATATATCAGAAGCATACCACAGTCAGATGTATAGCGGGGAGAACATTCCAAAGAATGGTGGCCTACTCAACTATAACCACAATCTGTTATGGCAAAGAGTCAGAGCAAAAGATCCCAAACTCCATCTGCTTTATCACTACTAAAGGGTCTCCCTGCACCCAAATTTTGAAGCTTTAGGGAAGTAGGGATGGCTTATTAGAAAAGTTCAATGGATAACAGAAAGATAATAATGTGTAGCATAATAACATCTAAGAACACACGATTCTGCTTTTAAGCAACACTATGATAATGCAATTGCCTACCACAGGTGTACGTTCCTAATCATGGTTATGCCAAAATGACCAAACATACATCATGACATCACCACATATCTGTTCATAGTTGCATTATATTTTCATAGGCAACTTTTGTGAAAGGCAGATTGCATTGGAAACGTCACACTACAACACCCTGTTTAGGAAGGGAATCTGATGGTGCTTTGGAGTGTGTAAGAAGTGCTGTGCCGATCAGTGATAGCATGTGGGGATGCATATTGGAAATGGTATGTGGGGGTGCCCAAGAGATGCTGCATGGGTTGAGAAAGGTGTGGGAGGGATGCAGTTTGGGGACAGTGAATGGGGTTACAAAAGAGGGGCCTTCCAGATCAGAAAAGGACTGAGACTTCGGTGTGACCCTGTTCAAGGAGGGCATGTGGGGATGAAGCGTGGGTCTGGGAAGGCATGTGATAGGGCAGCATAGGTGAGGACGTTCAGAGAAGTGACATGGGCCAGCAAAGATGTGTGGAGATTCCTTCCTTCCTCCCTCCCTCCCTTCCCTTCCCTTTCCAACAGGCAGATAAGTGACTGCTTTAATGGGGTGGGAAGGAGTGAGGGATTGCAAGACTGGCTGGGAAACTGTATGGAATGTTGAAAATGAAGATCACGTGGCCACAGCAGCAGCCCTGCAAACATAGTGGCAGCCAATAGCACTGAAGCAACCACATCTTTCCCAATTTCATTCCCTTGGGAATCACAAGTCCTAGATTTTGGACACAGACCCTGTGATACACCGTTTCGCCCAGTTAAAAGGCATGGCAAGTGTTAAGTTGTGGGAATGAGACTCAGGACACCAGCAGGACTGTCAATTATTTTATTTCCTTCTAGGACTGAGCGCTGGAGAAACCGCGGCAGCCCTTTTTATAGTTAGGCTGCTCACGTCTGTGGCCAGTGACAGCTCTTCAAATTTCCAGCCGCCATGGACTGACCAGTTACAGGTAAGTATGTTAATACATAACACCCCTCCCCACCTGGTCGGTCCAACCAATCTGAGCCTCACTTACCATACATAGTCACGTAGGTAGGCGGGGCTTTTATGGTTTCTACTGGACCTGCGCAACTCAGTCGCGGATTGGCCTTTGGACTGTTTAGACGGGTCTGTTCCTCCCATCCGTCTTCTTGGAACCTCCTGGAAGGTTGAGTCGGCCATGCTGCTCCCACCAGGAATTTCCTGGCTGGTTGAGTCGGCCCGGCCATTCCTGCCAGGGATTGCTTTCCTGCTATCCTTCTGGACCTGTTCCTGTCTCCCCGACCTGCCTTCTTCCCTGGTCTCAGGTACATGTTTCCATTTCCTGACCAGGGCTAGTGTTAGTGTTGGTTGTTGCGTAGTTGTCAGGGTTTGTTCTGTTATTTCTCTGGTTTGTGGAGGGTCTCCCCCTCCCTTTCTACTTGTGTTTTGTCTGTTTGAGGGGTCTCCCCCCTCTTCTCTGGTTGTGTTTTGTTTGTTTGAGGGGTCTCCCCCATCTTCCGTGGGTCTGTTTGGGTCTCCCTTCATGGCTCTAGATCTGAGCTGGTCTATGTGCCTCCTCCAGCTCCTCCCGTCCTTGGTGTCTACCCTGTATGAATGGGATCACTATTGCTGGTATCCCCGTGAGATTTTTTGCGCATACTGGGTCCCCTGTTTGAAATGTGTGGCAATTGCTGCAGGAGTCTGCTGGTTTTTCTGGGCTATATGTGGGGTGTAGTCTGTCTAGGTTTGATCTTAGTTTCCTCCCCATTAGTAACTCTGCTGGACTTTTGTTTGTTGTGCAACTGGGTGTCATGTGCTGAGTGCTTAGTAGCTTATCTACCTTTTCCTGTGTGTCCCCTGGCCCCAGCTTTTGTAATGTTTCCTTCGTGTAATGTACCATGCGCTCCACCCGTCCGTTCGTGGCTGGGTGTCCCGGGGCTCTCAGTGCATGCCTTACCCCATGTTGTGCTAGAAACCCCTCAAATGTTTTTGCCGTGAATTGTGGCCCGTTGTCGGATACAATTAGATCCGGCAATCCATGTGTTGCAAAAAGTTTCCTTAGCTGTCTAATGATGACTTCTGTTGTGGTGGAGTGCATAATGCTTACCTCTAGCCATTTGGAATAAGCATGTACAACTATTAAAAATGTGTGTCCTTTGGTTGAGCCTGCAAAATCAATGTGTAGTCTTGACCATGGTCCCCTTGGTGTTTCCCATTTGTGTTTTGGTGCTGTGGGGGGTGTTGGCCTAGATTCCTGGCAGCATTTACATGTTGCCACCCGGTCCCCTATTTCCTTATCTATCCCTGGCCACCATACATAACTCCTTGCCAGGGATTTCATTTTTACAATACCCGGGTGTCCCTCATGTAACAATTGTAGTATGTGTTTCCTTGAAACGTTTGGTATGACCACCCGATCCCCCCAATAGTATGCACCCCTTCAGCATTGAGAGTTCTGTTTGTCTATTCCAGAACGGTTTGGCGGTTTCGTCACTCTCAGTTTCTGGCCATCCTTTTCCTACCCAATTTAAAATTTGAGCTAGGGTTTTGTCTTTAGCTGTTTCCCTAGTGATGTCTGCTGCCGTTATGGGTAGGTTTTCTAATGTCTCTATTTGAAGGGTTGATGTGGTTGGTGCTGGGTTATCTTCTATGTCAGGTAGAGGGCAATGGCTAAGCACGTCAGCATGATTTATGTCCTTTCCGGGTCGGTAGGTTAGACTGTAGTTATAGCCAAAAATTCCGACCACCGTGTCATTCATGGTGACAGTATGTTAGGTGTAGCTTTGTTTCCTGCGATGATACCTAGGAGTGGCTTGTGGTCTGTGACTAGTGTGAAAGTTCTCACATAGATATATTCGTAGAAAAGTTTTATTCCACTGATAGCAGCCAACACCTCATTGTCTAGTTGGCTGTAGTTCCTCTCTGGCTTTGACAGAGTCTTTGAATAGAAAGCTATGGGTGCTTCTTTTCCATCTGGCAATACGTGGCTGAGTATCGTGCCGATGCCGAAAGGTGATGCATCGCAGGTTAGTGCTATTGGAAGTGTTTCGTTGTATTGTATTAGTACGCGGTCTGATGTGATTAAGTTTTTTATTTCTTGGAATGTCATTTCTTCCTGTCGCTCCCAGGCCCAGGTTGCTTTCTTGTCAAGCAACCTGTGTAGTGGTTCCGCAATAGTTGCTTTCTGTGGTAGGAATATATTGTAAAAGTTAATGAATCCTAAGAAAGCTTATGGATCAGTTTTATTTGTAGGTCTGGGGGCTTCTTTGATTGCTCTGACTTTATTTTCTGTGGGGTGGATCCCTTCACTGTCTATGAGATATCCTAGGAATTCAACTTTGCCGGCGGCTAACTGGCACTTCTTTTTTTTTATTTTTAGTCCCACCTCCTTGAATTTACTTAGGACTTTCCTTAGGTGGTCTCATAGTTGTTCTTTGTCCTTGGCTGATACCAGGATATCGTCAAAGTATGGTACCACCCCTTTTACTCCTTGCAATAGGCATTCCATTAAGCTCTGGAAGACCCCTGGGGCGATGCTGACACCAAATTGTAGTCTGTTGCATTTGAATGCCCCTCCTGTGCGTCACAATTGTCTGGGCTTCTACTGTTTCTGGGTCAATGGGCTACTGTTGGTACACCTGTGCAAAGTCTAGTTTTGTGAAGATTTCCCCCCCCCCCCAAAGGAATGTAATAGATGCTGTAGCACTGGAACTGGGTACGCGCTTTGTTGGAGCGCGTGGTTAAGGGTGGCTTTGTATTCCCCACAGATGCGTACTGACCCATCTGATTTAATTGGTGTCACAATTGGGG